CCCAGCTTTAGAATGTCTTTTTCAATACAGATTTGGAGAAAATGCAGGAAAAATCACTCCATCAAGTCCAGGTTTTCACAGCTCTTGAGTACCTGAAGCATAGGAAAGTCTCCAACCCGCCCATACTTGTTCATCTCAACGTCTGTGGGAACTGCCCAAAATGGCAGGGTGGGTGACACTTAATAAACAGTCAGTGCAGTTTATTTACCATAATGTTATGCATTGAAAGACAAGTATCATATACAAAGACCAGTGTCACTCATCTGTAGAATCTAAAATAGCTAATGTCACAGAAGCCAAGAGCAAAGCAGCAGTTACTAAAGACTGGGATGAGTTTGGTCAGCAGGTGCTAACTTACAGGGAGGTAAGACAAACGCATCCTGGTGAGCTCTCCCACAGGAGGGTGGTTGTGCTCACTGATGAAGGTAAGTCACTCATTTTCAATGACTTATTTACTTGTTTATTTGAAAGGTAGAATTGCAGGCAGAGAGGTAGAAGCTGAAAAAGAAATGTGTCATCTATTCATTCACTCCCCAAATAATGAAAACATCCAGTTCTGGATGGAGCCAAAGCCAGGAGCCTGAAACTCCATCCTGGTCTATCATAGAGGGGACTGAGACTCAAGCGTTTGGACCATTTCCCACTGAATGCCCAGGCACATTAGCAAGGAGCTAGTTAAATACTGGCCCCAGGACACTCTAATTAGAAAAAAAAAAGCAAGAAGAAATGGCTGTGAGAGTTCTAACTATAAAGAAATAATAAATGGTCGAGAAGATGCGTCTATGCTGACTGAAACACTACACATGCGTGCATCTGTGGAAACGCTGCTCAGTAGACCGTGTTTTTGTAAAATTTTCCTGTTTCAATTTAAAACCAAAAATTGAAGGTTTCCGATCTACCTGGAACCAAAAAGAAAAGTAGGGGGAAAACAAAGACCCAAAATGATTCCTACGGTAAATGAGCTCCCAGGTGTGAGAAGAGAACTCTCTCAGGACACACATCTCGATGAAATGTTTCTTCAGCTACCTAAAGAACTTCACAACAATCTCACATGTGAACACATCCAGAAATGTACTCCACATAGGCCCCCAACCATGTGTTCCAATGCAACCTATTACTATCCCCATCCTCAGTCTTGACAGGTAGGTTCAGAGTGAATAACAACTTTAAGAACCACCCACAGCTCCAATCTCTTTGCTGCTTTTCTTGTCTATGCGCCAGAATATGTTCTGCTCTTGTTAGAATTCCTTGGAAATTTTGGAGTTATCTTTGAGATTCTTTTCCTCCACCCTTCGAAGGAAGTCAGCAGGACAACATAAGTCACATAGTAGCCCTCTCCCCAGTCATGGGTGATCAAGTGCCTTTTCATGTATTTGACATATTTACATGTCTGAGGAAGCTGTGTGCACTGGCCCCTATCTTCACTCAAACATAACTTTTACAGCTGTAAAGTTCTAAATATCCTCCGCATTCACATTAAAGTGCTCCGATCTTTCTAGAGATTGGCGGTCTACAAGGCCCAACAAATATCTTTAAGTTATGCCTTGGGGAATTTGATCTACTTGATTCTCCTCTAAATAGCATGAGCATTGCTGTTCACAGGTAACAGGGTCACAGAGCAAACAGGAGAAGAGTGACCAGCGAAAACCCAAGTATGAGAGGGAAAGATGGGAGGAGGATAGAGAGATGGAATGAGATGAGTCAGAAAAATTCTTTTGACTTAATCTTTGAGCTTAGCTCAAATCCCACATTGGTCATTTTAACACATTAGCTCAAAAATTGTTGTTTTTAATTTTTTAGTTTTCAACAGATTCAAAATGATATGTACATCCACCCTTTGATGACTACAACCTTCAGAAACAACATGACTAGGTCCCTCCTTTTCCTCAGAACGGCCCTTACTTTGTGCCTTTGACGAAAGCCCTACTGCCTTATACCGCGCTGCCAATGACACTGTTAACTATGCCTTCACAATAGGATGCTGGACTTTATACATTGTCTTTACCTGCAGTGTCATGATACACTTCAGTTGAAGAATGATGCACTTATGATTGCTGTTGAAGCAATACAGTAGTGTAATAATACAGGGGAAATAAGTGGTGGGAGGGACGATGGGAAATCCCTGAGCCTATGGAACTGTATCATGAAAAAATAGGTAAATAAAAAACTATGTATGGATGAAATTTCTGATAGAAAGCATGCAATATGGCTTGGAATTGTCTTTCCAAGACATTCCTGAAAAATATATAAAATGTTCATTAGGCATAAACTTCCCAAGACATAAAAGAAATGACATGCCCCCTAGACACTGAGTCTTGCACAATCCATTTCAAGCCCAGAATCTGGGCCAGTAGATTGTACAGATATACAGAAGGTGTCTCCATCAGGAACAGGTCTTCATGGAGAAGAAGCTCGCAAAACATCAAAAGAACCCACTAGAAAAGCTGACACCTTTTCAGTTCATGTCACTGTAACCTTTCCAATGACTGCTCAGATTCCCCCTTTTGAGAAGGAAATTTGTAGTGATTTATGCATTGCTTGCCTGTCTTAGGATGTGCTTATGAAACCTCGGGTCCAAATTCTTTCATACCCTGCCCCCCACCCTGCCCAGTTATTCCTGAGTGGTTCTGAAGTTTCAGCCTCAAGGAAGCAACACAAGCATTGGAAGATAGGAGAGGACTAGTTTCCACAGAACTTGTAATTAAGAGTGTACCAGATTTACCACGTATTTTCTCATACTTTGAATATATCTTTCATGTCTTGTCTTTTATTTTTGAGACATTTTAAAATTTGCATTATGATCAAATATTTAATGCTCCACTAAACAGAGTTTAACAAATAGTTAAGAGAACACAATTCATGTGGCAACACGCTGGCTCAACTGGCTAATCTTCCCCTGCAACCACCAACATCCCACAGGGACACTGGTTCATGTCCTGGTAACTCCACTTCCAACCCATCTTTCTGCTTGTGACCTGGGAAACTAGAAGGAAATGATCCAACTACTCAGACCCCTGCACTCACATGAGAAACCCAGTAGATGCTCCCGACTCCTGGCTTTGATTGGTTCAGCTCCAGCCACTGAAGCCATTTCAGGAATGTACTAGCACATGAAAAATCTTTATCTCTGTCTCCCTTCTCTCTCTAAATCTGCCTTTCCAATTAAAAAAGTAAATCTTAATAAAAGAGAGAGAGATTATAGTTCCGCAAGAATAGAAGAAAGGACTATGACAGTAATCCAATGGAAAAATGATCAAATTTACTCATATGAAGTAAATACTAAAACATTCATAGTAATTAAAATCACAATAATATGTAATTCTTTATAAATTGATTTTGAAAAATTTAAACAAAATTTTAAAATGATATGCAGTTCCCTGATGCAGTGATGTTGGTCATTTTGTCATATACTTGCCATTTGTCTCTTGAGAACTATCTATGTCCATTTGTCTATGCCCTTGTCCATTTCTTAACTGAACTGGGTTATCTTACTGTTGTTGACCTTTTTTGAGTTTCTGGTTTATAATGGATATTAACATCTTAGAGGATGGGTAGCTTGCAATAGTTTCTTAAAATTCTGTCAAATGTCCCTTCACTCTATTGATAGTTTTCTTTGAGTTGTAGAAGCATTTGATCTTAATGAAATCATATTGTGTAATTTTTGTTTTATTGCCTGTGCATTTGGGATCTAATCCTGGAAGCGACGACCTACAGCATTGGGCAAACCATCATACATCACAACCAAATGAGATTTATCTAAGAGATATAATTAAACTTCGGTATTTTAAGTATTATTAAATATCTTATTTATTGGCTATTGCAAACAAACATACAAAACAATAAATGTAGTGAAATTTTTAACCAAAGTCTAGCATCAGAAAATTTTCCAGAACTTCGGGAAAAGTCCAAAAACAGAACATATTCTGTAAATGATAAATGTAAGATTTTAGATCTCATTAAGCAAATTGGTGAGAGCTTAAAAAGAAAAAAAAAAGAAGAAAAAGTTGTGTCAGTATGCAGTATTCAATTCAAAATCCTTAGAATTTTCAAGATATAGAAATTATTAAAGAATTAATAATTTTTTCCTATTGTTGAAAAGCATTTCTTAACTGATTGAAAAAGGATATGGTTTCCAGACAATATACTTTTTAGAGATTTATTATTATCTTTTTATTGGAAAGTTGGATTGACAGAGAAACACAAACAAAAAATCTTTCATCCACTGGTTCACTCCCCAAATGACCACAATGGGTGAGCTGAGCCAATTGGAAGCCAGGAGCCTTTTCTGGGTCTCCCAAATGGGTGTGGGGTCCCAAGGCTTTGGGCTGTCCTCTACAGCTTTACCGAGCCACAAGCAGGGGGCTAGGTGGGAATTGGAGCAGCCAGAAAATCTATCAGCACCCATATGGGATCCCTGCAGATGAAAGATGAGGAGTTAGCCAATATGTATCATGTTGAAATTTCACTGCACTTTAAGATAAAGAATAAATATAAAATAATATTGAAAGAAGAAATATATGAAAAGAGCCACAATAAGAAAATTGTGAAAATGTCATCACATTTCAAAGAAATGTCCTAAGGGAAACTGACTTTTGTCTAAGATTCTCTAATCAAGGCAGTCATTTTGCAAAGCATTCAAGTTCCCTGTATTTCATATTGGGATGCTTAGTTCAAGTCCCAGTGCCTTCCTGATTCTTATCCTGTTCATGTGCACTTCGGGGTATCAGTAACTGTTCAAGCACTTGGCTTCTTGCTATGCTCATGGGAGACCTCGGTGATGTTTCTGGCTCCCACCTTCAGTCTTTCCCAGCCCCAGATGTTGCAGGTATTTGAGGGGTGAAGCCATGAAGGAGAGGCATTTGTATACCTTTAAATTAATTGAATAGTGGGAGCTGTCCATTTACTTTTACATTAACTAACTAAATAAATAAACTCAATAAATAAATAAATAAATAAATAAACTTTTGTGTGTCTATAGACCAAAAATATTAATGTTTCATGTTTGTTTCGGCAGCACATATACTGAGAAATCAGAACAATACAAAGCAGATTAGCATGGCCCCTGTGCCAGGACGACACACAACTTTGTGAAGTGTTCTATGTCTTTCCCTTGACTCTTTGCGCCCTAATCAACTATGTAAAGATTATCAAAATAAAATAATACTTTCAAAAGTAACATTTCACATTTGAAAGAATAATCTAAAATCAACGAAAAACATTTTACAAACAGAAAACCTGGTATCTAGTCTAATTTCCCCAAAAAGTTGCTGGAAAGATGACTCAAACAAAAGAATACACCCAAAAAGAAAATAGGTGTTTTCATCCTACACAGATGAGTAAATTCTTATTAAGGGGAAACGCAAAGACAAAAATACAGCGATGAGCCTGGAGAAAATCCGATCTAAATTAACACAGGAGGTCTGCGATTTATTTTCAGACACAACAAGCTAAGTGAACATTCTATCATTACACTAGAACATTATAAATGCTAAGCTGCATTGGAAGTGGAGACTCCATAACATTTTCAAAGTAATACTGATTGATAAAGCACTGAGTAACCTACTTTTCTCCACCCTGAAATTCAAATCATGCTTGACCTCTCTTCGTTTCTCAGATATGTCATGTTCTCACTCTGGACTTTGCATATGCCATTTAAGCTTGAAGGGCATTTTCCATTCCTTCCACATAGTTTGAACTTTTTCTAAATTGAGTCATTTCTACTCAACCTTGAGATCTTGGCCTTGGTGGTTTCTTCCTCCCGATATGCTAATTTCAGATTTCCCTCTATTTCACCTTGTCATTAAAATCCATGCGTGGGTAGTTTTGGTTTGTTATCTTCCCTATTCAGTGAAACCTTAAATCTATGAGCAACTCTTCTCACATTGTCTGGCACAGTTGAGATGTTCAGCTAGCAGTCACGGCGTGTATGAGTAAATCTGCGAATGATCATAGCAGGCTAATCGATAATGGGATTTAGTCAACAAATACACTTTCACATCACATTTTCTGTATTACTTCTGCACCCTGTTTCTTTTTGTTGTGTTACCAAGATTTTCATGTAAACAGGATCCTTGTTGCTTAGCAACTCATTACTTCTGATTTTTCTTCTCTGCTGAGATTGGCTTATTTCTTTATTATGGAAGAGATCTAATTTCTCTCCCATCTGCAGGATTAGATCATTTTAGAATAAGAGAACAGAATGTGTCCATGGGACAAGTTTCCCAAATGCTCCTTTCTCTGAAAGGGCTGATTTGCTCGCTGCTTTGGTCATTGCTACAGGTAGGATTTTTCTACACTAGCTCCAGTCAGTGAAACTCTGAGACAGGACACTTACTGGAGCATTTTTAGTAACAGGAAAATGGTGGTGCAGGTGGAGGAGACAGATTTTCTCAACAGACGCTAGTTAAGTACAACATGTAATTTTCTATGCAAATATTCAGTGCAGCTACAGTAGAGCTATTAAGACTGAGATAAACTTCCACGCACTGAGATGGATAGCTGACCTAAATATATTTCAAGTTGCATATATGATGGGGGAACGAGCAGAAATACGACATGCACAGTGTGATCTCATCTATATATACACAAATCGAGTTGTAAAACCACTAGGAAGAACTATAGGGAGCTATGTTTATTTTTACACCTTTCCTCTTCTTAACTGTGTTTTTTTCCTTCCCATAAATTAATTTATGTTGTTTCTGCAATCTACAAGAACAAAATATGCACTCTACCACATATGCAAGCACAGGCTCTTGTTTGCTAACATTTCTGCTTTTCAGAAACTGACATGACAGCATAAGGAATATCAAGCTGTACTATTATGAAAAGACATTCTTAGCATCCCACAAAGTGATGGAGTTCAATAGGGTCCCATGGCTTTCAACAGCTTCCACAAGCACCTGAGCATGTCATTTGGAAGATCCCTTAGGAAATGAGGACCCAAAGTCAAATTAGAATCCTATACTTTATAGAATATATTCCCCAAAGGTAATGAACACTGACTTTACTGCCAACAGTGGGAAATGCCGTTACAGGTTTCTTGCATTGTAATAAGCAAACATGAATTTCCTTATTTCTTCCTGTTTAAATGAAACAATATTCTTAGACATCTTAGACAACATATAAAGATCAATTTTTCACCAACCTAAAAGTATTCACTCCCAAACAAGAATTGAAGTATCACTAAAATTGATACAGTGAAAGGTAATCCTTAATATGGTGATATTAAGAGATGTGTCAGGCCGAGCGCAGTGGCGCAGTGGCGCAGTGGTTAAAGGTCCTCGCCTTGCACGCCCAGGATCCCATATGGGCGCCGATTCTATCCCGGCAGCCCCGCTTCCCTTCCAGCTCCCTGCCTGTGGCCCGAAAAGCAGTCAAGGACGGCCCAAAGCTTTGGGACCCTGCACCCGCGTGGGAGACCCAGAAGAGGCTCCTGGCTTTGGATCAGCATAGCATCGGCCATTGCGCTCACTTGGGGAGTGAATCATCAGATGGAAGATCTTCCTCTCTGTGTCTCCTCTCTGTATATCTGCCTTTCCAATAAAAACATAATAAAAATAAATCTTTAAAAAAAAAAAGAGAGAGATGTGCCATTTGGGGGTAATTAGATCACGACAGCATGCATCACCCTCCTGAGTGAGATTAGTAGCTTTGTAAAGGACCTTCAAGAAGCTGACTCACCCTTTTCTGCCACAGAAGGGACTCTCTGAGTGGAATGGGCCTCTCCAGACACTGACTCTACTGCTGTCTTGATCTTGAACTTTACAGCCTTCGGAACTACAAGCAATAAGCTTCCGCTGGAGTGGGTGTTGGGAAGCAGTGCGTCTGCTGCTGCTCAGGACATCTGCATCCCACAGCACAGTGCAGGCTTGAGTTCATTTTTGATCCAGCTCCCTGATAACACATTGTGAAAAGCAGCAAAGGCTGGCTCAAGTGTCAGGCCCCTGCCATCTATGTGGGAGATCCAGGAAGAGGAACTGATTTTAGAGCTTCAGGCATCTGCCGAGGAGAGATAGGTGTTGCAGCTTTGGATAAAGACCCAAGAGAATCAAGTTCTTTTCCAGATGCCGCAATCCTCAGTCATCAGGAACTACACATTATACCCTGGGCTCTTTTATTTTAAAAAATGTGGAAATAGAGTCAATGGCACTTCGTTTTCTATGGAATCTCGATCCGTGGTGGTTTTATACAGTTTTTTTTGGCACTCTGATAGGTCCTGTAGGTTGTATCAAACTCAACTGCGATGTTCCTGGACAGGATGTGCTGGAGTGGAGACATGCTCCCCAAAACCATCGGATGTTGGTGACTGAGAAAATAGCAGACATAGGAGATTGTGCCTGCTTTTCCTTCCCCTTCCCCCTCAAAGCACAGCGTAAGGCCATAATTTTAGCGTTGCCTCCCCAGATTCTGGGACAATGAACATCCTTGTCTCTGAGGATACAAGTCTCTAAAAAATAATCTGGACAAAAGAATCTTGCTAAGTTCCCTGCCCTTTTTTAGACTGTAACTTGGTGCTCTCCAAATACTCCACAGCTTTTCACTCTTATCAGACCTAGCGTAAAAGTCAACATCGCTCCCTTTCCATTTGAGTCTCTATTTCTAAAATTGCTTATATCACATAAAAGTTGCATTTAATACATGTGTTAAGTTTTTCTCTTGCTTGGCTGCCCTTCCTTATAGAGTCCTGACCTGTAAACTAGTGCTGTGAAAGCAGTATTTGTTTTTCACCATCATCATGAGTTCTACATTGCTCTCTGCACTGCGTGTCCTTACCATTTTAACAAGTGTCCTCATTTGTGTTCAACTATCTTGCAAATTAAAATATGCTAAACCAGCTCATGCTAAGGTGCTTGCCAATTTGGAAGAGAGACTTTTATTTACTTAGAATATAAAATTAAAATATATAAGCTATCTGTCTTTTTAGTCAAAAGAAACAGGGGGTGGAGAGAGAGAGAGAGAGAGTGTTTTTGTCAATTGGTTCACTCTCCAAAATTCTTGCAATAGCTGAAGCTGGCCTCAGGCCAAAGCCAAGAACCTACATCTCAGTCTCGTTCATCCAAACAGACGGCCAAGTCTGAACTACTTGAATTATTATCTGCTGCCCCCTTGGGTCTGCACTGACAAACATATGAACTTGGGAGCTGCAGCCAGGAATCAAGCCTAGCACTCTGACACGGGGCATGAGCATCTGAACTGACTGACCCCTTACCTGTTAGGCCAAAGAGCTACTCTCAGATCCACTCCTGAAGCCTCATTTTCTGCTGAGAAATTATGCATCTATTGGTGACTTTCAAAAATAAAAGTGAATACAAATGTAGGTAACTTTTTGATGGAACAGTGCACAACTGAGGCATTGACAAGCCTGTATCACGTCATTTCAATTCAGGTTGGGAGGTTAGGAGCTTCAAACAACTTCAGAAACACTGTTAGAAAACGAATCGCCTAGAAATAGCAGTCACCAAACAATGCAGATTACCGACGTGAGTCAGCCTGATGATTAACTACTGCCATGAATAGGTCATTCCACACAGTATCAGGGAGACTGTGTGGTGGGTTCAAAGCTAAATGAGAACAGGCCCACTGTTTCTTCAGTTTGCCATCTCTCTTTTTACATCTCAACCTCCATGAACATTTCTTTATCTTAGTAAAACCTCAGAAAGCAACCACACAGTGAGGTCAGTTTTTCCCTGCCTTCCCACTTTTCTTTTGACAAGTGTGAGGCACCACACCCAGTTATCTCTCCTTAGAGACAGAGGGAGAAATAAAGTGGTTGTTGTACTTTTTGCAGTGACACCTAACATTTGAGTAACCTATTAGTAAAATCATTTTGCTTTTCTTTTCCTCCCTAAAGGACCATGAAAATAAGTGGCAGTCGGTGTTTTTAGGTGGCTTATGCAATGTCAGATAGAGATGAGTATTCCCTGTTGTTAGCATGGAAGAGGAGAATTGTCAAAGTACTGGGACTCAAATATTTGTAATAAGTATGGTCGTATATCCAGAGATGTGTGTGACAGATTATTCCCTTCATGACTGCCTGAGTCTGTATTTGACCTTTAGATGCCATCGTATCACATATCATCTCTTAGGTCATGAGCTTCCATTGACAGG